TTCAAGCGATTCTCTTGCCTCAGCCTCCTGAATAGCTGGGATTACAGGCATCTACCACCAGGCCCAGCTAATTTCTGTATTTTTAGTAAAGATGGGGTTTCACCATGTTGGCCGGGCTGGTCTCGAACCCCCGACCTCGTGATCCGCCCACCTCGGCCTCCCAAAGTGCTGGGATTGCAGGCGGTAGCCACGTGCCTGGCCTCTGCCTTGCTTCTAGGGGGCAAGGATGACAGGGTCTGCACTTCCTATCCTGACACTGTGTCTCCGGTTTCCACTGGCCTCCTGGATTCACTCCCCGTCCCTTCTCGCTGTCTGATGATGGCTGTCCCTCCTGCCTAGACGAGCAGAGACCAGACAGAGCCGCGAGCTGGATTTAGCTCTGGAATGCTACTGCGCGCTCCGCAGACCGCGACCTCGCGGGACTGGAGCAGTGCTGGCGCAGCCGCAGCCTCTGGCTCCCTCTGCAGGCAGCAGGCGGGAACTGCAGGCGAACTGCGGCCTACGGGAGACCAGGTCTTCCTCGAGGAGGTCAGGACAACCGCGTTCGCAGATTCGAGATTTGCTTTCCTTATCATTACCTAGCGTGGTTGGGTGGCCCGAGGAGTTTCTTTGCCGGATGGACTCCTGCTGTCTCATTAGTCCACCCGGCAAAGAAACTCCTCGGCTCACCCAGCCACGCTAGGTAATTATAAGGAAAGCAAATCTCGAATCTGCGAACGCGGTTGTTCTGACCTCTCGACGAAGGCCTGGTCTCCCGCAGGCCACAGGCCTTCTGCTGCCACACTGTGTTCTTTAAAGGCTGGTTCTGGGCCTGGTGGGTGGCTTATGCCCGTAATTCCAGCACTTTGGGAGACCGAGGCGGGAGGAATCCAGGAGGTGGAGACCAACCTGAGCAACATTGAGAAAGCCTGACTCTACAAAAAAAAAAAAAATTACACACCTTAGCCAGGTGTGGTGGCATGTGCCTGTAGTCCCCGCTACTCAGGAGGCTGAGGCAGGAGGATCACTTGGGCTGGGAAGGTGGAGGCTTCGGTGGGCTATGATTGCATCACTGCACTCCAGCCTGGGGAACAGAGGGAGACGTGTTCTCAAAAACAAAACAAAGGCCAGGCACAGTGGCTCACGCCTGTAATCCCAGCACTTTGGGAGGCCAAGGCAGGCAGATTACTTGAGGTCAGGAGTTCGAGACCATCCTGGCCAGCATGGTGAAACCCCATCTCTACTAAAAATACAAAAGTTACCCAGCCGTGGTTGTGGGTGCTTGTAATCCCAGCTACTTGGGAGGCTGAGGCAGGAGAATCTCTTGAACCCAGGCGGTGGAGGTTGCAGTGAGCCCAGATCGCACCACTGCACAACAAAGCAAGACTCCATCGCAACACCACCACAAACAAAACAGAGACTAGTTATTGGCTTCCCGTGGCAAAAGCCTTGGCCGCCTCATTTTGGTCATTAACACCATACACAGAGCCACTAGTCTTCTGTTCTTCTCCCAGGGGACAGGAGTTGTGTGTGAGGAGGTGGCCAGAAGGATGGGAGGGTGGAGAACTGGAGCTTGGAAACAGAGGCGTGGTAGGTTTAACCGACACTGACAACTGCCCGATGGACTTTCGGGTGGCAGAAATGGGGCTGGGAGATGCTGTTTCTCCTGTCCCTGCCTGCTCCCCGCCACCCCATCTCTGGTCCTAGACCTTCCCTGCCTTCACGTCTCTCCTACTTCGTGTGTGCCCGCAGCACAGGCATTGCTGGGAAGCTGGCTAGAAAATGCAGAATCTGGGCCAGGCACAGTGGCTCACACCTGTAATCCCAGCACTTTGGGAGGCCAAGGCAGGCAGATTACTTGAGGTCAGGAGTTCGAGACCATCCTGGCCAACATGGTGAAAGCCTGTCTCTACTAAAAATACAAATATTAGCCAGGCATGGTGGTGGGTGCCTATAGTCCCAGCTACTTGGGAGGCTGAGGCAGAATTGCTTGAACCCGGACGCAGAGGTTGCAGTGAGCCGAGATCACGCCACTGCACTCCAGCCTGAGTGACAGAACAAGACTCCATCTCAAAAAAAAAAAAAAAAAAAAAGTGCAGAATCTGCGCCCAGCAGCAGGCTCCAGGGTCAATGAGACCCTTGCAACCCACACTTTGTGGAGTGTGAGCAGCCTTGGCCACTGTGTCACCATCCTGCTCAGCCCGTTCCTGCCATCCACAAGCTCTTCAGCCTGTCTGCTCCGTCAGCTGCCTAAGACGCCAATCCCACCCTCCCTGCTGGCTGAAATCCTGCCCAGCCTGCAGAGCCAGTGCATATGCCATCTCCTCCTCCTCTTCTTTCCTCCTCGATAGGGCAGTCCTCCCTGACTCTTGCTCTGCCGAGATGTGCTGAACTAACTTTGCCCTCCTGTGGAGTCCCACAGTACCGACTCTGCATTCTTCTTGTGGATTCTCGAACACCTGATTTGTCTGTAAGCCCTGGAAGGCAGGGGCAGGCCTAGAGGGTGAATAGCCAGGCACTGCCGTTATCTCCAACCCCCGTTGTCATCATCTGGAAGAATCTGGAATAATCTAGGTTCCAGGTCCTCCTTTTAGGATGCTAGGTCTAAACTTCTGAGATAAAGCCAGAAACGGGCTTTTTTTTTTTTTTTTGAGATGGAGTCTCGCTCTGTAGCCCAGGCTGGAGTGCAGAGGCATGATCTCAGCTCACTGCAATGTCCACTTCCTGGTTCAAGTGATTCTCCTGCCTCAGTCTTCCTAGTAGCTGGGATTACAGGCATGTGCCACCACACCCAGTTAATTTTTGTATTTTAGTAGAGATGGGGTTTCACCATGTTGGCCAGGCTAGTTTTGAACGCCTCACCTCATAATCCACCTGTCTTGGCCTTCCAAAGTGCTGGGATTACAGGCGTGAGCCACCGTGCCTGGCCTGGGCCTTTTTTTTTTGTCTTGCTCTGTCTCCCAGTCTAGAGTGCAGTGACACAATCACAGCTCAGTGCAACCTCGAGCTCCTGGGCTCAAGCAGTCCTCCCACCTCAGTGGAAGTATCCTGAGGAAACTCTCGGAGGTTCTTAAGGGGTAGCCCCTGGTATAAGGAGAGGTAGTGACCATCCTCAACTGAGACATAACCTGACCTAGCTCTTGTCCCAAGTCCTGTCAGGTTGTTGCAAGGATCCCACATAAAATGGCAAATGCACCCCAAATACAGCCAGCATAGTGCTCTGCTCTCCACAGCAGTGAAAAATGAAACCACTGAGTTACCCACCCACAAGGATATCCAGCTGTTAAAAGAATGCCGGGGCATGGTGGCTCACGCCTGTAATCCCAGCACTTTGGGAAGTGGAGGTGGGAGGATTGATCGAGGCCAGGAGTTCAAGACTAGCCTGGGTAATGGAGCAAGCCCCCCCACCCCGACCATCTCTACAAAAGATTACAAAATTAGCTGGGCATGGTGGCAGGTGCTCATAGTCCGAGCTACTGGGGAGGCTGAGGTGGGAGGATCACTTGAGCCCAGGGGTTGGAGGCTACAGTGAGCCATGATCACACCACTGCATTCCAGCCTAGGCAACAGAGACCTGTCTCTAAAGAAACATTTAGAAAAGTGACACGGGCAAATACACAGTGAAACGACAGGGTGAGCAGCACATCTGCAAAGATGGCCACCAAAAGTCAGGTCTCCCATAGCCACACCTTGTATGGTTCCCACCCACATCTGTGGGGCCTGTGACTTGCTCTACCCGGGAGAAGGCAGTGCCAGCGAAGCTGTGCCGGTTCTCAGCCCAAGCCGCACGGCCCGGCAGTTCCTGCTTTTGCTGGTGGGAACCAAGTCATCAAGGAGCCTGTCCACCTTGCTGCAGAGGCCCCGTGAAGAACGAGAGGCCCAAGACCTCGGGGAAAAGGCCAGCTGTCCAGGCATCTCTCAAACAGCCGCCCTCACCTCACATGCTCCAGCCCAGCCAGGCCTCCAGCGACCGCAGTGGGAGCGGTGGCCACAGAACCACTCAGCTGAGTCCTGTCAACCCCCAGCATCGGGAGATAGTAACAGAAATGGCCTAAAAGCCACCAGACTGGAGAGGGGTGGGATTGTTACAGTTAACAACCCGAAGAGCAGGCTGCCTTCTCTGACTGTGAAACATGCAAGAGAAGAACTTATCAGTGGTTCCTTTCCCGCTTTATTTTTCAGCTGCTTTTTGGGTTTTATGCAATGAACAGGTATCACTTGTAGAAGCAAACAATGTCATCCTTTATGATAAAATCCATTTCTTTTTTAAAAAGCTGTGTGGACAGATGAACGTCCAAGTACTGGGCACAGCTCCGGCCCTCCCCCTTCCACTGAAGGTCATTGCCTGTTGCTAGAAAGTTCTTTCCCAGGTATGCAGCTGTGTCTCTACTTCAGAGGCCGCAGTTCTGGGGAACGGACTGCCCCAACGCTAAAGCCCGTCAATCTCTTTAATTCCCCACTCCTTGGTACAACAAAGTCCCTTCTCTGTGGCCACTGATGGAAACCTGGAACACCCTTTTGATGGTGGCACAGTGTCCTCAGCCTCGACACAGCAGCTGGGGTTTGAGCTGTCCACGTGCACCCCCCACCCTGGTGTCCCCACAGCTCTGGCCATGGGCTATCTCTGTCACTGTCACTGAACATCAGGCCTTGGTCAGAAGATGAAATCCAGAGGGGGAGAGATCAGCAGAGGCAGCTCAATGAAAAAGATGCCATTTGCTCAGCCAAAAAACGGCTGCCTGGCATTCACCGCTGCACTATGACCCCATGAGGGTGAACCACCCCAAGGAGGAATCAGGCCTGGATGATGCAAGGGTGCCTACAGGAGGGGCGGGGGGAGTGTGTACAGGCAAGCTTTGCATAGTGTGTCCAATCTCATAAAGCTACTGATGAAAGTATCACACTTCAGACTAACAGTTAAACAGCATCTAATTCTGACTGGTAACGAAGAGGAGGCAACACTCTAAAGTCAGCTCTCACAGGGAAGAAAGCACAACATTTATAGAAGGGACCTTGAAAAATAAAATCCAGGACGGCTTTTATTGATGCACCCATCATGAGCCACCCACAATTTGGAAGGGATGGTTACGTTAATACAGCAATCACCAGCAAAGCAAAGGTTATCTGCAACACCCTTGCAGTGACATGATCCTTCATAAATTAAGGAAACTGGCTGCCCAGCACGGCTGCTCACTTCATGGTCTTCACAAAATCCTCCCCCTTCTTGATGGAGGCCTTCAGCTCGGGGATGGCCTCGGCGATCATCTTCTCCTCAAAAGAAGAGACTTTGCCGATGCCCAGGTTCTTCTCAATGCCCTTTTTCTGCAGGAGGGAGGTGGGAACGTGGTGAAATGAAGTTTTCAGGAAAGTGCTTGTTACAGAAGCCCCGACCTGTCACTGCATCAGCCCTGCGGAGGAATGTGTCTACACCTGCGGGCTGTGGGTACCTTGCTCGGGGGTGCCCTGCTGACCGGGTGGGTGGGTGGGTCTGGGCTGTGGTCAGGAGTGCAGGCCTCAGAGTCAGAGGGTGCTAGGAGCGGCTCCTGTCATTGTCACTGCCTAGGTAGGTACCCTGGACAATGCCTGATCTTCCAAATGTGTTTCCTTAGCTATAAAACAAGCACATCCACCTCCACGCACACAAGGACAGTGCGACAAGCACCTGGATGCCAGGCACTCAATCATCAGGGACACTCCACTGCATTCTCCCCAACAGAGCCTGGTTCTGGGTTCTTGTCTCTTCCCTGAAAAAGGACTGAGAAACACCGTCACAGTCGCCTGAATCACACGTCACTAAGTAGGTAAATGTCTGACATTGGTAAAAACAACAGGCGTCTCTGCCGTCTCACCTTCAGAAACTGCATGGTTTGTGTGGCAACAGCCTCAGACCTCACTTCAACTCCATCCCCTCCTACTGCCTCCCCTGGCTCAAGGGCCTCTGAGAGCCAGGTGAGTCTCACCTGCAGGCCCCGCCTCCATACACCTGCACCAGAACTACACTGCTGGGTGCCTGTCTCTCACCAAGGCCTGGGGCCATGGCTGAAGGATGGTTGGGTATCGAAGCGTCTCCGACAAAGGCCCTGGTGTGGCTCAGTGAGCCACAATACTTTCTGGCCACACAATGAAGGCAACCACACATCTGCCTGATTTCAGCCCACACATGAGAAATGGAAACCTAGCTTGAGGGCTTCTGAGTGAGGCCTAAGGGTTTCTGCTTGCTGAAGACTCAGGCTGTCGGGCCTAGGCACACTCTGGAAGAGGAATGAGACCTTGCAGCCCCCACAGGCGGCGTAGGGAGACCTGCCCAGACGTGCTGGGAGGTTTGCGTTTCGCAGTCGGTGATTTCTCCCAGCTCTTCATTCTCGGGTGTGCTTGCACCCTCGAAAACCCCCACGCTCACCCGGCAGGGACATGGAGTTACTGCACAAAGGGCCGGGGGAGCTCCTGAGGCTGAAGCAGAGGGAATGCCCCTTCTCCAGAGTCAGAGGACTCACGTCCAGATACGCACCCCCAACAGCAGCGGTGTGGAGAAGTAGGCACATTCCGTTTCCTGTGACTTCACGAACGAACATTCCACGACACCTTCCTTTCCGTTCATTGCATCCACAAGGGAGAAGACGAAGCGGGCACCGGCATATGCCATGGAGAGGGTGGCGGAGCCTGGGGGGCACAGGCAGGTCAGCCAGGCTGGCGCCACAACCGTGTCGCCCAGGTGAGCCGGCCCCACCAGCCAAGGCACCTGCACATCTTCCAGCCTGACAGTCGAGAACTTCGGTGAGCACCACTGATTTTTTTTTTTTTTTTACTTATACACAAATGGTGTGAAAGGCTCCGCTACCCTCAAAAATGACTCTCAACCCCAAAAAGCAGGCTGAGCTGCCCTTTCACACAGGGATTTCCCATCTGGCAAATGCAAATCAAACACTGCAAAGGACCCATCTGTGCCCAGGGACAAGCAGTGTTTCTCTCCAGCCCTGAGCTCCCAGGGCCTCACTGGCACCCAGCCCCAGGCCTGCCTGAGACTACCTGCTCCGGCTTTCGCCTTGACGACCTCCGTGCCGGCCTCCTGGATCCGCCCAGTGAGCGTTGTCAGCTGGTCCTGGGGAAAGTCCACCTTGGGGGTGCACTGCAAGCCAAGCCGTGGGGTCAGCGAGCGGCTTCCGGGCCACCATCCTAGGCCCACTGCCTCCTGCCCACACCCAACCCCTCCCACCACCAGGGCCTGGGAAAGGTTTGCCATAAAGAAGAAAAAGAAAACCTTTTTTTTTTTTTTTTTTTTTTTAAAAAAAGGACGCACTACACCAGGCACACTGCCTATGGGATAGCCCTCTTCCACAAGGAGCAGCAAAAAATAATGTTTTTTAAAAGGACAAAGTCAAATCAACTCTGTCGGGAAGTCTAGCGAGTCCCCACTCGCTTGGTTCTGGAGGCAGGTCTCACTGTCGCCCGGGCTGGAGTGGTGCAGTCATAGCTCACTGCAGCCTCAACCTCCCAGGCTCAAGCAATCCTCCTGCTTCAGCCTCCCAAAATGCTGGGATTAGAGGTATCAGCTGCTGTGTCCTGCCCTGGACTCATTTTTAAACAAAGCACCTCGCCCAGTCCAGCCTAACCAGTAACCTGGTGGGGCTCCCAACAGCGGTTTTCCTTGTGTGCTGGAGCTGGTGGCCCTTAGCAGCTTCTGCCCACACTCGCTCCACGACTGACCCTGTCCCGCAACAGAGGGCTGAGGGTCTCTATCCCCCAGGCTGGAGCTGCCTGCAATGGGAGCCCTTCGAAAACCAGGGGCATGGCCAGGCCTTCTCCAGTCTGCCGGGACTGCCTCAAACAGGTCCTGGTAAAGGGACCACTGACCCCGAAGTCCCTTACAGGGTCATCCGCGTGTACCTGAGAGATCAGGGGGATGATGGTCTTCCCGGCATGGCCACCAATGACAGGGACGTTGACTCGAGCTGGATCCAAACCCTGGTGACCAAAGTGGGAAGCTGGATGAGTTTTAAGCTCTTTGAGCATAAAACATGTCGCAGCTGTGCACAGCCCCAACACTGGAAAAGCCCCCAGAACTCAGGGTGGAACACAGCGAGCTGGGAGGAAGCCCTGTCCCACCCCTGCTGCACTTGGATTTCCTGCCGCGGTGCCCCAAAGGCCTGAGCATGAGCGCCAGCAGGGGCTGTGAGGACACACCACCGTTCAAACACCACCATTCAAGGCCGCCTCATTTCTTAAACTGGAGGTACCACACCCCCAAGAATCTGTGAACAAGGTTTGTTTTTTTTGAGACAGGGTCTCTATCCCCCAGGCTGCAGTGCAGTGGCACAATCTCGGCTGGCTGCAACCTCTGCCTCCTGGGCTCAATGATCCTCCCACCTCAGCCCCCCACATAGCACACACCCCCATGCCCAACTTATGTTTTTTAAATTTTTGTAGAGATGAGGAGTTGCCATGTTGCCCGGGCTGGTCCTGAACTCCTGGGCTCAAGCCATCCTCCTGCATTGGCTTCCCAAAGTGCTGGGATCCTAGGCATTCACCACTGCACCCAGCTGAACCAAGTATTTCTTAAAACACAATAACCTGGTGGGAGTTCTGGTAGGGAGAGGGGCAGCCACTTGCCCCGATGGCCATGCCCGGTGAAAGCCCAGCCCTAGGCTGGGAAAGAAGCCTGGCCTGGGAGAGGGAGGACTGGCCTCATGTGTGGGCAAAGCAGGATCAGCTTCATGGAGCCGAGAGCCAAAGACCTGAGAGGCTTAGCTTGGCGGTGTATAAGCACACACGTGCAGGCACTGTGCGGTCACAAGGGATGCAGAGCTGAAGGGACATAGTTCTGCTTTCCAGAAGCTTGTCCTCGAATACATGACTCCTAGAATGGATGCTCCTAAGACAGGGGGACAGGGAGGCTTTGCAGCAAAGGGGAGCCTGGCATCGGCCTGGGGGGTCCAGGAGCCATGTTGAAAGGGAATATGACGGGTGAGAGGATGAGGGAGGAACCAGACACCGGAAGTTTAAGGATATTCATTCTTGATACAATCCAGGAAATCTCCAGAAAGTCAGGCAGCCAGGGTAATGACAGTCCACTTCAATGTGGGAGGTGGGGGACAGGGGATCTCGCAAGGGACCCCCCCATGTAGCTAGTGGCAGCTGTGGTGCAGGGCAGGACTAGGCCTGGGGCTCGCCCAGCCCCGAGAGCTCACGAGAATGAGTGCTGTTGCCTTCAGGACTCCCAGGGATGCGCCTCTGGAGGGGGAGGCGGGGCGCTGCCTGGTGTGTCCACTCCCAGACTGTGGCCATCACCAGGGAACTCTACTTGCCTGCGCTGACCTGGTCACTCAAACTGTCTTTTTTTTTAGAGACAGGGTCTTGCTGTCACCCAGGCTGGAGTGCAGTGGCACAATCACAGCTTATTGCAGTCTTGAACTCCCAGGCTCGAGTGATCCTCCCACCTCAGCATCCCAAAGCGCTGGGATGACAGGCCTGAGCCACCGCACCTGGCTTAAACTGTCTCTTGAATACAAGCGGTTCTCCCATTCCATGGAACTTCAAGGCCTGGGGTCATGCCTTTTGAACAGACACGTACTGCCGTGTGTATTACAGTGGGGCACCTCTAATTCCTCAGAAGCAGAACTGCCCGGCCCTCGGGAGTAAAATGAAGGCGAGGGTGCCAGTGTGCACTCCACCACGCTGAGCGCCCGACCGCCTCAAATTTGCTGTCAGAACTAAACGGCCTTACGTGCAAGAGGAATACTTTCTGGGGCCAAAGGAAGTGGCTCTGCAGGCTCCACAATGGAAGCCAGTGGAAAGCAGGCTGTGCAAGGACTCGAGACCCAGTGCTGGCACCAAACCAAGACGACCTCAAGCCACACCCAGCAGCTCAGCCTTGGTCCAGCAGCCCAAGGGCCAGGAACCTGGCCAGGCCCAGACTCTCCAGGGCGAGCTGCCACAGGCAGCCTGAAAAAGGCCGCTCCAGGGACCAGGGCCAATGACAATGTTGATGCCTCAGGACTTCTGGCACTTTCCTCAGTTCTTCATGTGTGCTCATTTTACCACCCTTTATCTAGTGGCCAGCAGGTGAATCCTCCTAGGACCAGTTTTCAGAAGCAAGGAGAAAGGGGAGGACTAGGGGAGCACTGTCCAAGTCCAGCCACTGACAACCCCAGAGAAGGTCTGAAGCGCAGCACTCTCTGGGAGAAGGAAGACAGCAAGAACAGTGGGACAGCCTCGAGCCAGAGTTGATGCCTGCAGGGGCCGGGTGCCTGGGTCCCACAGGAAACGCAGGGGCTGCTTCCACCAAGGGAGCGAGCTCTAGAAACACTGAAAACCCCCAAGTGACACGTGACCTGAACATGCCCTGGTGTATTCCATGCCCGTAAATGGGCAGGGGTGGCGGGTGACGTTCAGAAGGGTCACCTGAGCAACACCCACGCCGCCCTTACCTTCAGCTCTGCGACAAAGGTGTTGGCTCGGACGATGTCCAGGGTCGTCACTCCGAAGATCTTGTTGGGGTTGTATGCTCCGTGCTTCTTGAAAACTTCTGCTGTGATGGGGATGGTGGAGTTGACCTACGACATCCAAGAGACGGGTGTGACTTGCCTGGGTTCCAAGAGCAGGGCCAAGCCAGAGAACGCCAGACCACTCATGAGCCCAAAGATGCCACATTAAACCGCCCTGTCTGATAACTCTGTGTACTGGCAAGCCACCTGCCACGCTGGACAGGCCACACGCTGTGAACAAAGAAACCCTTTACTGTAGAGGATGCTTCTTCCCTTGGTGGCCCTTCAGCGATCGACTGAAATGTGAAATGATGGCTCCCTGGGCCACCTTCTGCCCGGCCGGGCCTCACAGCGGAATGGCCGCTCCTGATTGGAGAGCGGTGCCCAGTGGCTGCGTGTGCCAAGGAAGCAGCCCCACCGGCAGTTCTGTCCCTCTGTGCTGCAACCCTGCACAGGTCACCCTAACTCTCTGGGACCTGTTTCTTTCATCTGTAAGTGGGGGAAACAACTACCTCATGAAGTCGTTGTAAACGCTAAATGACTTCACACAGAGCGAGTGCTGCACACGTCACCCGGGATGCCGGAAGGGGACATAACAGCAAGGTTTCTATTGGACACTGCTCAGCTCCCCAACAGAGGGAACAGCAGCTCTCTACGTGTGACCCACCACCCCGAGGAGGGTGAGCTTGTGGGAAAAGCAGGACCCTCTTCTGCAGCTGCTGTTTGGCAAGCGAGCACGAGGCCCTGAAGGTCAGGCTGGGGAACCATGGCCGCCCTCTCGATGAGGGCGCGGCACTCGATGTTTGAGTAAGCAGCTACCTGTAAAAACCAGTGAGTGGGGCTTGGGGTGGCTGTGTGTGCCTGAGACTGCGTGTGAGTAAGGGGATGGGGATGACAGGGGACCGGGAATGCAAATCCTGAGTAGAAGGGAGTCCCACCTCATCCATGGTTTACTTCCTGCTGTTTTAATTACCAGCAGTCAACTGAGGTCTGAAATTACTAAATGGAAAATTCCAGAAATAAAGAATTCATGGGTTTTAAACCAACCGGGTACAGTGGCTCACACCTGTAATCCCAGCAGCACTTTGGGAGGCTGAGGCAGGCAGATCACCTGAGGTCAGGAGTTCGAGACCAGCCTGACCAACATGGTGGAACCCCGTCTCTATTACAAATACAATTAGCTGGGCGTAGTGGTGCCTGCCTGTAATCCCAGCTACTCAGGAGGCTGAGGCAGGAGAATCACTTGAACCTGGGAGGCAAAGGTTGCAGTGAGCCAAGATCGCACCACTGCACTCCAGCCTGGGCGAGCAAGCAAGACTTCATCTCAAAAACAAAAAGTCAAACAAACAAAAAATAAACTGCATGCCATCCCAGGTAGCAGGATGAACTCTCACTCCATGCCATCCAGGACAGAGGCCAACCCTCTGCCCAGCATACCCATGCTGTCTACACCACCTGCCCGAGTCACTTAGGAACCATCTTGTGAGTGATCACAATGTTTGTGTTCCAGTTGCCTTATTTCACTTTCTAACTGCCCAAAGCCTGAGGCTGTTTGGCTGTTCCAGCTCTCCTTTAGCTAATGGCGGGAGGCGTCCTCAGGAGATGCATGGACAGGGCCTCTGCATAGTGCACCTGACCTCTCCAGCTGAGCTCATTCATCTGTGTACCCCCCACCCCCAGCACATCGGCAGCCTCTGTTCCAAATCATAAGCTTCTCACGCACTGCCAGCACCTATGTGCCTGCCATCGCTGCCAGAGCTGGGCGCTGCCACTCACCGGATTGGCAATGACACAGATCATAGCTTCAGGGCAGTGCTGGGCACAGGCAGCAGCCAGGGTGGCCACAATCGTGGCATTGGTATTAAACAGGTCATCCCGGCTCATGCCTAGAAATGATCCAATGTGAGATGTTAACAGAGAACACAACACATTTCCAGACAGGCGGCATGTACTGAGCACCGGCTGTTACAGGAAAATTAGCCACCCAAGGTCCCCGTTTCAAGTCAGTCTCTCTTGTAGGGTAAACGACTCCAGTATGATGAGTCCCAGAAGAGAGGTCCGTGGGAGTCGATCGGGCAAGGGAAGCAGGGAGGACAACATCTGAGAAGGACCGTCAAGGGTTAATAAGAACCCCCCAGGTAGAGTGGGGCCAAGGAGAGGGAAGGGCATTCTGTGCACAGAGGCACAAGGGGAATGGCAAGAGGACTGTGACCAGGCCAACCAAGAGATGTGATCTTTGCCCCACGGGCAACAGGAGCTGGTGCCATTTTTCCTGCAATGAAGCGATCAGATTAAATCCATTTTTAATAGAAAATAGATTTAATCCCCACAGACAAGGCTTTCAAACACAAACCTGGTTTTCTGGGGACTCCAGCTGGAATAACTACCACATCACAACCTTTCAGGCAGTCAGGCAGCTGTTCAGGTCCGAGGTAGCCTAGAACAAACATTCCACAAGAGAAATTTCACCTCTTCTGATTCAGAGAGGGCTGGAAAGCTCAACCCCTGGCCTTATAGCCAAGTAACAGCCTCAAAAAAGGCTAGAAGGCCCCGCCTGCAACATGTCTTCCTTTTGTTGATGACTGCTGCCCCGTGAGCGGACAATCCCCGTGGCAGGAATCCTCCCCTTTTACCCGCTTTCCCCAGCCTCTCCCTGCCCAGGCCTCATCTAGGATGGGTCAGCCCTCCAGGTTTCCACAAAAGCGAGCTGAGCCACTGCTTGTCTTCATCCTACTCGTGAGCACTTGTAAGTCACTCTTGGCATTCTTACTCTGGTTAGAATTCGAGGAGCTCCTCATTCCCCCTCACAACCACCCTGAGGAAAACTCCTTTTCCTTTTGAGACAGTCTCGCTCTGTCCCCCAGGCTGGAGTGCAGTGGCGTGATCTCGGCTCACTGCAGCCTCCACCTCCCGGGTTCATGTGATTCTCCTGTTTCAGCTTCCTGAGTAGCTCGAATTACAGGCATGCACCACCACGTTCGGCTAATTTTTGTATTTTTAGTAGAGTAGGGGTTTCACCATGTTGGCCAGGCTGGTTCTGAACTCCTGACCTCGTGATCCACCCACCTTGGCCTCCCAAAGCACTGGGATTACAGGCAGGAGCCAGTTTGCCAGCCCAAACTCCTTGATCAGAAGGCACTGAAGGCCAGAAAAGAAAATGCCCTGTGCTGACAGACTCTAAATATCACCATTCCCACTCCTATCACCTGGAGGAAAGAGTGTCTTTTCAAAGATTTCAGGAAAATTTGCTACAATATCCAAAATCTGCTTTGATCTTGACTTTTTCCTTATTGCAGGGGGCTTCAGAAACTCAAATATACGGCCCAAAAGAAAATGGGCAAACCTGGCCGGGCATGGTGGCTCATGCCTGGAATCCTAGCACTTTGGGAGGCCGAGGCGGCCGGATCACTTGAGGTCAAGAGTTCGAGACCAGCCTAAACAACATGGAGAAACCTCGTGTCTCTACTAAAAACACAAAGTTAGTCAGGTAGCGTGGTGCATGCCTGTAATCGCAGCTACTCGGGAGGCTGAGGCAGGAGAACTGCTTGAACATGGAAGGTTGAGGTTGCGGTGAGCCAAGATCTCGTCATTGTCTGGGCAAAAAGAGCAAAACTCTGTCTCAAAAAAAAAAAAAAAAAGGAAGAAAAAGAAAATGGGCAAAGCCGTTCAGAGAACTCTGGAAGGTGCATGAACAGATGATTTGTCAGGCAGCCTCTCCAGCTGTTTACACCAACTGCAGACTCAGGTAAACACCAGCAGACATGGTGTCCTCATATGCTGTCCTCGGGGAAAGAAACTGGTAGAACCTTTCTGGACAGCAGTTTGGAAGTTCACAGTAAAAGCTTTGAATATTTATACCTACTAACTCTGCTTAGAACTCTAAGAAACAAGATGTGAGGATAAAGATCTGTACCGCAACTTACATTAATATATCTATATTTATAGAAGAAAATAGCAAACAGCCAGTGGTCAACAGTAGGGCTCCAATACCTGATAACTTACAGCTTTCCCAATGATTTAATCAAGGATTTGGGCTGGGCGAAGTTGCTTACGCCTGTAATCCCAGCAATTTGGGAGGCCGTGAATCACTTGAGGTCAGGAGTTTGAGACCAGCCTGGCCAACAGGGTGAAACCCTGTCCCTAATAAAAACACAAAAATTAGCCAAGCATGGTGGCACATGCCTGTAGTCCCAGCTACTCAGGAAGCTGAGGCAGGAGAATCACTTGAATCCAGGAAGGGGAGATTACAGTGAGCCAAGATGGCGCCACTATGTTCCAGTCTGGGAGCCGGAGCAAGATACTCTGTCTCAAAAAAAAAATTGTGAAGGTTAAATAAGCAGCATATATACATATACATAATGATGAAAAATTTTTTTTTTGAGACAGGGTCTCGCCCTCTCACCTAGGCTGGAGTGCGGCACTGTCATCAGGGCTCACTGGAGCCTCTACCTCCTAGACTCAAGTAATCCTCCCATCTCAGCCTCCCAAGTAGCTGGGACCACAGGTGCCCACTACCATGTCCGGCTAATTTTTGTATTTTTGTGTTGAGATGAGGCTGATCATGTTACCCAGGCTGGTCTTGAACTCCTAGACTCAAGCAATCCTCCTGACTTGGCCTCCCAAAGTGCTGGGATTATAGGCGTGAGCCACTGCACCGAGTCAAATGGACAATTTATTTGACAACATTTACTGGATATCCAACACTGCCTTCAGCAGATGAGCAGATTTCTCTAAGAGGCTGTGCTTTTTGAGAAGCTATCAAGACAACCCTGGGATGGAGGGGAGGTGGCCTGCAGCTGGGAACACCACCTTACTGCCCCCAAATCCTCACCAGAGTTCCCGACACTTCCCTCTTCCCCATCCTCATACTACATTCTAAATTAGGAAAAGCAGAAAATAGGGCTAGCCGTGGTGGCTCATGCCTGTAATCCCAGCACTTTGGGAGGCTGAGGTGGGCACATTATGAGGTCAGGAGATTGAGACCAGTCTGACCAACATGGTGAAACCCCATCTCTACTGAAAATACAAAAATTAGCCAGCCATGGTGGTTCACACCTGTGATCCCAGCTACTCAGAAGGCTGAGGCAGGAGAATCGCTTTAACCCGGAAGGTGGTGGCTGCAGTGAGCTGAGATTACGCCACTGCACTCCAGCCTGGGTGACAGAGCGAGACTCGGTCTCAAAATAAAATAAAATAAAAATAAAGAAAAAGTAGAAAATGGGATGATTAGGCTCGCTCCCATTTCTAAGACACTGCCATTTCAATTTTAACAGACCCAAGTCTAAAAGGGTGTAATCACTCGCAAAATTTAAAAGTAAAACAAACAGGGAAACCCCAAGTGTCTAGGTGTCTAGCTTCATCTAAGAATCTTACTCAAAACTCAGATCCTGGCCTACCGGGGAGAGGATGCAGGTCTCTAGGGTCGGCGCGCCCAGTACCTTTAACAGTTGCTTTGGTCTCGATGTGGCTCAGATCTGCGGCTACTCCGGGTGTGTGCGCGATATCATAGAGGGTCAGGCGGCTCACCAACGGGCTGTTCTTCAGGAGTAGCGAGAGGGGCTGCCCAATGCCTCCAGAGGCCCCTAGCACGGCTACTTTAGCATTGTTCTAAAAAGAGACACAGAGAAAGGAATCTTAGGATGAAATGAGAATGAAAAGGATTCACATGCTATCCTGCAAAAATACCGCACTTTGCACTGCAGTTGCCGAAGCAAGATCCCATCATTGTATGTGTATCGGTGTCAGTCTGGTAGAATTATGGACCTTCATTCCAAAGGTCCACTTTCAAATGGGGAGAATTTATGATTTATGTCTATAGAGGCTGTGATCCTCAGGGTACTTCAAAACACTCCTGAAAGATGAAGAACAAGCCTGACTCCATCAGGCAGCTGGACTGGTAATTGCAGCCTTACCTTCAACCTGCAGCTTTAAAAACTATACACACACACTGAGTGCCTAGCAACAGCCCCTCCCAGTAACCGAGGCTGCAGGAAGACCCCTGCTGGCTCTGTAGGAGACTGGTAATGAGATGTTTTAGGAGCGGAGAGAAGACTGTCACAGGAGCCCCTGCTGCAAAGGGAAGATGGGAGCAGGGCAATCAACTCCCTGCAGGGATGGGGAATCAGGGAAGCAACTTCTGGCTGGAGCCTAAGGCAGGACATGGAGCTGCCTAACAACAGGTGGACGGGGGAATGCACATTGCGAAAGGATCCATCCCTCCTAGGTGAGTCGGATCTGTCATCTCGGGCTCCAGTATCTCACACCGGTTCTCCAGCTTAGGTGTGTATCAGAATCACCTGCTGAGCTAACGAAGCCTACCCAGGACTAGACTTCTGGCAGCGGGATAGGGCTTAGACCTCAGCATTTTTGCCATCTTCCCCAGGTAATTTTGATGCCAGTTTGAGAATCACTGCTTCATACCGGGATCATCAGAACAAGCAGCAAAGTTGTCAGGTCTCCATATGCAAGCCTGGAGCCTGAAAGCCTAAGTCCTCCTTGCCTCGCTGATATCTCCCACCTCCCACCTGCATTCACATCGTCCCTAATGGCCCAGCTTCGGACCTTCCACGTACAAGCCCATCACCCAACCCTGCCATTGTAACTGAACTTATGGTCGTGTATACTCCCTTGCCCCTACCCACCACCACTGTAACTGAACTTACTCTGCGATACCCCCGCCCCCCCCAAAAAACTACCCAAACCTATAAAACCAACTCCTATCCCACTGCCCTTTGCTGATGCCGGCCTTAGCCCACCTGCACCCAGGTGAATAAACAGCCATGTTGCTCACACGGAGTCTGTTTGGAAGGTCTCTTCAAAGTGTGCGTTTTTCAACAAAAGTAGCAGGTGGTCCTGGGCATTTCAGCTTGGAACAGTTAGGAAAGTGATGGGGTGAGAGTGATCCAACCCTGCATTCAACAATCACTCCTGTTATTCAAATATTCAAAGGCTCCCCTCTGGGTCTCACTCAAGGTCTGACCAAAATTCCAGCCACCCCCAGGGGAGCTTATTTCCAATCTAAACTCACAAATGGTAAGTGGAGGCAGGCAGGCAGGTAGCTGCCAGTGAGGGAAGAGACAAACTAATCCCAGCACTTTGGGAGGCCGAGGCAGGCGGATAATGAGGTCAAGAGGTAGAGACCATCCTGGCCAGCACAGTGAAACCATCTCTACTAAAAATACAAAAATTGGCTGGGCGTGGTGGTGCACGCTTGTAGTCCCAGCTACTCGGGAGGCTGAGGCAGGAGAATTGCTTGAATCCGGGAGGCAGAGGCTGCAGTGAGCCGAGATTGTGCCACTGCACTCCAGCCTGATGACAGAGTAAGACTCTGTTTCAAAAAAGGTGAACCCCTGACTGCCCAGAAACTTGAACCTGTCAGACCCGCTCAGAACCTGAGGTCGGGCAGCCTCGCCCACTTCTGGATCTTCAACTCTCATTCCCACATCTTCAGTCTTTGGGACTCCCAAACTGCATTCCCAGTTGTTAGGCATTCCATGGGTTCCACAAACCCAATTGTCCATTTATCCTGCCCCCCTCCCTCCATCCCTCATCCCAAATGGCACTTGTGTTCGCTAAACGTAACCTTTTAGAACGATCCTCTGCCGCCTCCTCCTTCCTTATCAGAGACATCAAGTCAGGACATGAAGAACTTGGCAGCTCAACCACCCTCCTGACACGTTCCTCCTCTTCGTTCTATTCCATTATTAACTTAGGTACTCAGTGATACCTCCAAAGCACCCTTCCCGAAAATCAAAGTCTTAATCCTCACTCCCATGCTCAAATATCTAGCAGGCCTGGTGCTGTGCACCTGTAGTCCCAGCTACTCAGGAGGCTGAGATGGGAGATCACTTGAGCTCAGGAGTTGAGGCTGCTGTGAGCCATGATGGAGGCTGCACTCCAGCCAAGGCAGAAGATGCCATTTCCTTAAACAAAAAAATCTGGGCCAGGAGTGGTGGCTCAAACCTATAATCTCAGCACTTTGGGAGGCCGGGGTGGGTGGATCACCTCAGATCAGAAGTTCTAGACCAGCCATGCCAACATGGCAAAACCCCATCTCTACTAAAAATACAGAAATTAGGCAGGTATCATAGCCCACACCTGTGGATCCCAGCTACTCAGGAGGCTGAGGCAGGAGAATCGCTTGAACCCAGGAGGCGGAAGTTGTAGTGAGCCGAGATTGCACCACTGCACTCCAGCCTGGGTAACAAAAGCAAAACTCTGTCTCTGTCTCACAAAAACAAACAAACAAACAAACAAACAAAAAACACCTCAACCACTCCCTGAACATCATTCTTCCCTGTCAGCTGCCCCTGCCCCCCACCATAGACCTTCATCGCCTCCACCTGTTCTAAGTTTACTCGTTTCTGTCCCATCTCGAGTGCCACTTTTCACTTATCTTGGTATCCCCAGCAGCACCCAGCAGAGTTGTTGGCAACTTATGATGGGGTCGCCTGTGGGAACCCACTGCAAGTCGAAAATACGCAAAGTTAAAAACTCGCCTTTTGACTTATATTATCAACTTGCGAAGGGTAGGGGAAGTAGCCATAAATCCAGGAGCTCTGTATTTCTTTTTCAAGTGAACTGGATGTACAGGAGACGAAGTGAGAACTTCAATGATAAATTTGGATTCCGCTTTAAAATTATCCCCCTCTTGGGCGTCGTAATTAAAGGGCAACGCAGGCACCTCCTGGGTACTCAAACTTAGGTTTAATTCGATTCGCTTGGTAAAAATGCAGAAACCCCGGTCTTACGCTTCTTCAATGAGCCCAGGCCTCTGTTCTTTATTACTTTCAGGTGATTCTGACACACAGCAGAGTTTAAGAACCACCGTCCTAGAAGACGGCTAAAAATAGCTTTGGCTTAAGTGGTCGCGGGCCAAGTCTAGAGTTAAGACACCTGGAGGCCGGCTCAGTACCGCCTACCACGGAAGAGAGCCTTCAAAAAGGTTAAGAGGAAGCCGTCTTCAGGTCAGAAGAGGTGAATTTTAATCCTCTGGCCAAGTGGCTGTGTAACCTTGGCCCAGTTCTCTAGCCTCGGTTTGTCCATACTACGGAGTTGAAAATTACACGATTTCTTTTATTCACGCACACTCACGCGGATGCAGCAAGGAGCTACGTCAAAGCAATGAAAAGCTGCAGAAAAAACGTAAGTTTACTTTCAGATTCAGAGCCTTCTTTTCCCAACCTTGAAGGCGTGCAGGCCAAGAGCAGACCCTCTGGGGGACCCCTGCCAAATGCACCAGCCCTGGAGCGGGACTATCTAGCGCCCTTCTCCCGAGCTTTCTCCCCGGCAGCTCCCTGCCAGTGTCAGGGCCTGTCCCGGGCGCCACAGCCTCCAGCCTGCAGTCCAGGCTGGCCTGGAGAGGATAAGGGCTGCCTGCGAACCAGGGACGCACGTGGCCCGGGCCAGGGGACCTCCGCATGCAGCCCGCCCCTCTTCGGGGTTACCTGGGCCGAGGTGCTGAAGCTGCGGCGGAGAGCGGCGCTGGCAGGCCGGGCGAGGGAGGAGAGCATGGCTGGAGCGGGCGGGGCGCGGACCGGCAGGCACAGGAGCTGGCCACGGGCAGGTGACACCAACGACCT